GGTACACATGTATACACATGTGTATAGTACTCTTGGTTCCCCTCGAAACACTTTTTTCAGCTTCAACCAATACCTACTTATTAGGTAACAGATGTATATATGATTTGAAAAACAGTGGGAAAAGAGGCTTACTAATAAGGGTCCCAGTAGCAGTCTAGTTTGCTTACTTCCTATGTCTTATCTTTCTCTCTAAGAGGGGAGGTGTTAGTACATATGGCTCTTGAGCTCCATTTAATCATTTTGATTAGCATCTTTGGTAACTTTTTTTCTCTTTCATAACCATATGGTAAAGCAACATGTAATGTTCCAATGATTGTGATTTCAAAACTAAAGTACTATTTGTTCCTTCTGAAAACCTGAAATGAACATCTTGTAGTTGATGCGTTGAGGAAAAATACCCTAGTGCATTATTTCTATCTATGACTCAAGATCATGGGCAAAAACATGTAGTGAGATTAACTCCCAAAAAGCGTAAGTTGGTACATTCAGTTAAGAAGAAGAAGGACTGGGCTTCTGCACCTCCGCTAGTGGAGGAAATAGAAAGAGAGTGATAGTTTTATGGGCCTCTGCCTTTCTGCCTCATCTCGGAATTATATATGAAACTATATTCCTAGACAGCCTTGGAAAAGAAGATTTGAATGGAATGCTTGCTTCTCTCTATCACATATATGCTCAAAATTATTAGTTTGTGCAGCATCAGGTTCATGCTATCATGCATTTTTGTTAATTACAATCGTATTTCCTACTTTCAACTTTTGTCCCACTTTTTCCTATTTTTTTTTATTCCAGCTCACAATTTTTATTTCAAGATAATACTTGGAACAGAGTTTGAAATATCAGTGTACTGTTCATTTTGCAATGTTATTTGAACAAAATACTTGGAAAAATATTATGGCTTTTTAAAGGGATAGCGTATTTGTTTCCTAGGGTTTCCATAATAAAATACCATGGACTGGGTGGCTTCAGCAGCATTTCTCCCAGTTCTGGAAGCCGGAAGTCCGGGACCAAGGTGTCAGCAGGCTTGGCTTCTCTTGAGGCCTCTCTGTGGCTGGTGGATGGCTGCCTCCTTCTGAGGATATCCTCACACAGCTTCACCTCTGTGCCCATACACCTTTTCCATCTTCTTATAAGGACTCCAGTCATGTTGGATTGTGGGCCTATCCTAGGGCTTCCTTTTACCTTAGTTAGCTTAAAAAAAAAAAAAAAACTATCTCAAAATATAGTCACACTGGAGGTTAGAGGTTAGGGCATCCACATTTGAATGTAGGAGGACCACAATTCAGCTCACAACAGGTAACAGTGCTATTAATCAAATACTCTGTAATATCTTCCCTTTGTGGAGAAAATAAAATCTTATGAAGGATAGTGATAGCATTATCATTGACATGTGATATCAAGTTATTTGAAAGAGGAATTTATGTGGCTCATTCACATGAAATAGGAGATATCATTTATAAGTGAATGAATATAAAATAATCGCTAACTCTGGGATTGGCCTATCTTAATAGAATTCACAAAGATTCAGCAAAGGAACAGCCTGGCAGACCAGCAGTTCACACTTCCACGCACTGTTTGTGGCCAAACAAAGAAAGATCCAGAGCCAGAAAGGCCTGTGGGACTGTGGCTCTTGCATCTATTCTGAGGTCTATCTATAGCTTTGGTCTTAATTTCCTGGAAATGTGGCTTCCATATTTGAAACAAATCTGAGTCTTGTGTGACATCAGTATGCAGAACCACAGAATGAGATACTTGAGCCACAAGCATACAAATAAAGGATGCTGTAATACCAGTGTGCAAATACAAGCAGGGATGTCCTTGCCCCCTCATAAAGACTATACCAATTGTTTTCAGAATATTTCTGTATATTTAGTTACATCATTTATACTGTTCTAGTTTCTGAATTTTTTTAATGCCTTGGATGAGGGCTGTTAAATTTAACAACTAAAAACATAGGTTGCCCAGGTATTGAAACCCAGGTATCGGGCCGGCGCTGTGGCTCAATAGGCTAATCCTCCGCCTTGCGGCGCCGGCACACCAGGTTCTAGTCCCGGTCGGGGTGCCAGATTCTGTCCCGGTTGCCCCTCTTCCAGGCCAGCTCTCTGCTGTGGCCAGGGAGTGCAGTGGAGGATGGTCCAAGTGCTTGGGCCCTGCACCTCATGGGAGACCAGGAGAAGCACATGGCTCCTGCCATTGGATCAGCGTGGTGCGCCGGCCGCAGCAGCCATTGGAGGGTGAACCAACAGCAAAGGAAGACCTTTCTCTCTGTCTCTCTCTCTCTCACTGTCCACTCTGCCTGTCAAAAAAAAAAAAAAAAAATAAAACACCCAGGTACCAAAAAACCTAATTCCTTTATGGCACATGCTTATTCTGAAAAGACACTTGTTATTTATCCAATGCTAATTGGCTGTGGCAGCCCAACTCTGAGTTCAGGAATAAATCCTGCAGCAGGCATTGGGTACAGCAGTTCAGATACCACTTGATACACCTTTGTTCCTTATCAGAATTCGCGGGTTTGAGCCCTGGCTCCACTTCCAAACTCAACTTCCTGTTAACGCTCTCCCTGGGAAGAAACAGGTAACAGCTCAAGTACCTGGGTTCCTGCCTCCCCGGAGGGAGACCCAGACTGAGTACCAGCATCTTAGCTTTAGTCTGGCCCAGCCCCAGAAACAGCATGCATTTGGGGAAGAAGCCAGCAGGTGGAAGATCTCTCTTTCGCTCTCTCTCTCTCTCTCTCATTCTCTCTGTCCCTCCACTCCCCTCCCCAACTCCTTTCAAATAAATGAAAAAAAAAATTTTAAAGCATGAAACTTCTCCTTTTGCAGTTCCCTGGACTTCCACATCCTCTTCAGCTGCCATCACCAACTTTGTAAATTTAATTTCCAGGTCTTCATTTGGTACTGTCTTTAACTTCTACCCCAAAGCATAAAATATTCAGCGTTCAGGATCCCTTTCATTATGCTGCTGTGATACATGGTTGTAAACGCTCTGTGTCAAGAAACAAAAGTTCATTTCACTGAACTTTTCACCCACACTGAAGTATTTACATCTTTTTATTGATGCTTTATAATGCTACCTAAAGAGATGGTGAGGAGTCTTAGGCTCTACATCTCTCAATCCGGGACTCATTGACTCACTTGTTAAATCGAGGCCTGGGATTCAGTATTTTCCCCCAGGTTCTCACAATCCCATGCTACAAGTCTTTGAACTCAGTGTTCCATCAACGCTCTCATTTGCTTTGTGAAAACTAAATCTTTCCTATTTCAGATGGACCCCTTTACTCTTTTTTTAAAAGATTTATTTTATTTATTTGAAAGAGTTACAGAGAGAGGTAGAGACAGAGAGAGGTCTTCCATCCGCTGGTTCACTCCCCAGATGGCCGCAATGGCCGGACCTGTGCCAATCTGAAGCCAGGAGCCAGGAGCTTCTTTTGGGTCTCCCACGTGGGTGCAGGGGCCTATTAATTCTCATAGTACATACTCATAGTTAATTCTCTGTAATTGACAGAGATCCTACATGGGGAGATAGTGCACAGTGACTCCTGTTGTTGATTTAACAATTGACACTCTTATTTATGACATCAGTAATCACCTGAGGCTCTTGTCATGAGCTGCCAAGGCTATGGAAGCCTCTTGAGTCCACAAACTCCAACCCTATTTAGACAAGGCTATAATCAAAGTGGAAGTTCTCTCCTCCCTTCAGACAAAGGTACCTCCTGGCCCGTTCTTTCCACTGGGATCTCTCTCACAGAGATCTTTCATTTAGGTCATTTTTTTCTTGCCACAGTGTCTTGGCTTTTCATACCTGAGAAATTCTCATGAACCCCTTTACTCTTAAAGTAAATAGTGTTTCAATTATTAAATGAGTAATAATTAGATTACTAACAGCTTCACTCTTAATGGAGTTTGTTTAACCTCAATTCCTCAAGGTCCACACACTTTGTTTCTTTCTACTCCTATTCATCCTAACACCGGAATTTACACATATTGGGTAAGCAGATGATGTGACCATGAGAATGCTGATAAATAATTAAAAAATTAAAATTTATCCTGGGGGGTTCCTACTGTCAAAAATAACTCTTAGCAACCAAAGCCAACTCCGGTTTGAAAGGACGCCCGTCTGGGAGCAGCTCTTTGTTCTCTTCCGCCATCTAGTGGTGCCAAGGTTGCCCTCATCCTCTGAACTTGAAATTCCAAGCTGCTAAGACTTTAAAGATTATAAATCTAATGGATGAATGATTTTCTTCTTGTCATTGCAGTAAAAAAAGGATTTATAGAGTGTTTCAGTAATAAAATGTATAATAAATGTTAATAAAAGTTAAGTATAACAAAATGGCAGACTTTAATACTTGAACAGTATAGATTAAATTCGTGCAATTTAATCTCTTTAATATGTTCAAATGTTAACTTGAACACTGAAGAACAAAAATATAAAGTATCCTACAGTGTTTGAAAAAAGGTTATCCTTCTCAGGTGCTCTTTGTGTAGTGTTACAGAGTATTTAAATAAATGCAGTCATTGCAGATGAAAAGAAAATGAAATGCTGATAAAAAGTGAGTTGATAGAATGTCTCAGTTCTGTATTTAACCACTTTTCTTCAATTAAGTTAGAGCTTATTCTCATTATTATTTATAAATGCAATACAATGTTTAATGAGTGTTGAATGATACTTAGTTTTAATGTCCTATAATCTGGAACTTTCTTCAGATGGCATAATAGTGGGTTTAATTGTGTGAGTCTAAAGTAAAAATAAATTTCTCTGATGAATCAAAATATTTCTGAAGTGTGACTTATTTCCCATTAAAGTCTTTTTCACTGCATAACTATAGGAAAAATATTTCTGACACTTTAACAGTATTCTAGCTTTCGCTTTACTTTAACATAGAATGCCAATGCTATTATAAAGTATTTAGATCTTTCTAACAAAATATGTTTAATGGAAATACAAATTTATTTTTGAATAGAATTGTGAGGCAGCTGAGAAATCTCCAATTTGTTTTCCAGGGTGGGAAAATCCCTATACGGTGGACAGCCCCAGAAGCTATAGCCTACAGAAAATTCTCCTCGGCGAGTGATGCCTGGAGCTACGGCATTGTCATGTGGGAGGTCATGTCCTATGGAGAGAGACCCTACTGGGAAATGTCTAACCAAGACGTGAGTGCTGCTGATAGTTACAGTGTCATTTTGTGAACATAAACTCTGGAGCTTTGGGGAGGGAGGGAACAGGCCTTTTGTCCTCACTCAGGCTAGCCTTCATTTGCCTGAAAGTTGATTAGGGTCAGTGACTAAATGTGAGAAGCCAAAGAATCTCCCACTCTCTAATCTGTATTTGGTGTCATAGGAGCCTGCTGATGGGCTTTGTCAGGTGGGTGCCAGATCCGTCCCCCGCAGCTGACACTTCTACACTTGTACTAATGCAGCATCACTGTGCTTTTGCAATAGCCTTGAACACCAAGTAAGACAAAAGAAATGGCAATGTTTACCTTTCCTTTCTTTTGTACAATTCGATGCACCTGGTAAAGAACAAATTAATTTGGACTAGATATCACTTAGAGGGAAAAGAGTGAATGCTTTCAGGAAGTGTGTTATCAGTCTGTGTCAACCAGAATAGTTCTTTGGAGATACACGGCCATTTCTGTAATGTTTTGATTCTGTTTTGCCTATACAAATTACTTTGGTGATTGATAATATTACAAAACAATCTAATTCACACATGGAACCTCTATGACCAATCCACATTGGTAGAAGCAGCAGTCAGAAGATATGAGTTCCCTAATAATGCAAACAAATGCACTGTCCCCTTCCTCATCTCAGAATTCAAGCTTTGTCTACTCACTTGCCTTCCTCAAAGTGTTTGATGGTTCCTGAGATAAGGATGTGGGAAATTACCTATAATGTGATTCTGAATGTTCATATATGCTAACAAAGGTTGCATACCTATAGATAATCCCTGAACATACAGAGAAGACAACTGTTGCCACTACGATTTCCCTTCTCCCAGTTAATCACTTGAGAAATCCCACAACCTTCAACTTACTATGCCATCTCAACCTCATATTGTCCGAGCAGTTTAAGGACTTTCTCAGAGAGAAAAATGTATGTTTTTCTAATGTGGGTATAGACAAGACTGGAGTCTAGATGGCCAGTCTAAGCTGTTGTTTCTACCTGCCACGTGTTGTTGCTTTAGAAGCTCAGCCTCACTTAGTCCTGTAAATGTCTGCTGATACTGCAGAAAATGCCAGGTCCAGAAACCCACGCAGCAGCAGGTTTGAGGTCAAACACACTGCTCAGTCATTGCTCTCCAGAACATATTGTCAAAACACAAAGCCAGCTTGGCTGGACATTTCAGAATTTGGCAGTAAGTACAAAGTGTGCTGTTTCTAGCCACCTCTGCCTCACCCTCAACAGTTAGACATTTGGGATCCAGGTTATTTACCTGGAGACTAATATTCTCTATGGAATTCTGCTGGAAGGATTTTACTGCCCTTCCTTGCCACCAGGCCTTGTTTGGAGCAATTCCTGAACACCTTTCCAGCTCTTCCTAAAACTGAATTCCAGAAGCAGAAATTTCATTCCCGATAAAAATTCATGTTTTTGGGTTTTTTCTTCTATTTTTTAACTAATTGAATAAGGTAATGAAAGCCCTGAATTCAGTCACCATAGCTCTTGTTCTTCTCTATATCCAAGGTAATTCTTGCCTACTTACCCTATTTTGATAAAAATTTGCTACTGGAACAAGTCTCCCAAATAAAATCCCCTCCAGAATACAAGATCCCGCTTGCTGCTCTGAAAAGTGCCCTCCTCAGATGATACCCCACTCAGTCTTCGTCTTAACCAGTCCCTTGACACATTGAAAATTTAAAAATTGCCAAAGTCAGAGCAGTAGCATACCTATATGAGTAAAAAGTGTCTGAGTGTTCACAAATGATGTATATTAATTTTCTCATTACATGCAAGTACTACTGTTCTAACAAATCCGTTTAAAAATATTTATCAGGTGTGCTCTCCATTCTGGGAACTAGGAATACAGCAGTGAACAAATGTTACACTCACAAGGGACAGGGAAGATTATCCAGTGCAATCACTTTATTTATTGGTCCTGAAATTGAGGCATAGGGAAGTGGCATGGTTTCCCTGAAATTGTGTAAGGAATGGTTGTCCGTGACCTTAGAAAAGAATTCTGATCAACTTCTAGAGAAACTCCTGGGCAAGGAGAAGAAAAGAGGGAATACTTGTGTCTTCCATGGGGGTTTGGCTGACAATCTTGCCCTCATGGAGCTGACTTCTAAGGGGAGGGAAGCAAACCATAAATGAAATAAATAAATAAATTCTATGGGAGGAGGGCAAGACAGGAAGATAAAGAATACTGGGGGTTTGATTTAAGTACCTATATGAATATATTATAAAATATATTCACAAAAGTCATTCCTTTATGGTCATAAAAGAAATAATGAGTCATTCTTATTAGAATAATCATTCTTAAAATAGGATTTGACAAGTAAACATAAAGAATACTTTCTTAGTTTTTCCTACTGCCTAGATTATCCTAGCACCTGAGGTACATTGTAACCATTGTAACCATTTAGTAACCATGACCATGATTATGTAGACTGTACTTCAACTGTGAAAATCATTTAACTTTTCAAAGTACCTCAGTTCCTTGACGAAAAAATACAATAAGGGGACTGAGTTAGATGACTTTAATGTCCCTTTTTAATGATACCAATGTTACGATTTTATAATGTCAGAGAAAATAGTTAATACACTCTTCTCAACAAAGGAAAGATCCAAATTGTTCTTTTTGGAAGTTCAGAACTTTGCTGCTTCTCTTTGGAGGTGCCAGAATTGAGACAGGGCTTCCACAGTGCAGAACAGCTACAAGTGAAGACGTCAGATCACAAGACAGATTTTTAGGGAGCAGCTTCTGAAAAAAAAAAAAAAGCAAATGTGTAGTTTTGAACCTAGACCACTATGTAAATTGTTCTGAATTGCTGCCTGCAGTAGTCCAGATTCTGTTGTCAGCCCCTCCCTTCCTGGACCTCCCACCCATTCTGGCCAGGTACCTTGATGATCTGTGTCCTAGATGACCATCTAGAGAGTGATTTCATCTATTGCACTTCATGTGGCCGCAGAGACTGTATCTAGAGGCAGGAGAAGCTGCTGCAGCCAGGAATGGACTTCTCACATGAAGCCCATGATCATTCCTTCAGGACTGCAGTGTCCACAGCACAAGGCTGAGCAATTGCTCCACCCTGAGCTTGGTGGGGTTTCCAAGCCCATGTGGGGCCTAAGTTGGTGCATTTCATGGTCTTTGTGTGGGTTATCAAAGAATATTCAAGCAAAAATCTGAGAATAGGGGAGGAAGAGACAAAAATAAAAGTAGTTTGGAGAGAAAAAAAAAAAGCTCAGTCTTGAGGTCTTCTGATTGATGCAAGACTAAAGGAAAGTAGTAAGAGCTGACATCTTTCACGTATCTCGTGAATATTTTTTGCTGCTGCAGTAGAGAGAGTTAAATTCTGTTTAACTTAACAGATTGGAAGTCAGCATATCTGTGACAGATCCTGTAACCAGAATTTCTGTTTGGAAGCAGAATTTTCTCAGCTGCTCTCTCCAACCACTGGCTATTCTCTATTTGTCCTGCGTGTCTTGTTTATATGGTTAAAGTATAGTCTTATTTTTCACTTTTTCCCACCAAGGTGCAGTTTAAATAAAGAAAGTAATGTGATAGCAAAAATTCTACTATATTCTGTTTGAATATTTTATATATTTTTACTACATTACCGTGTGTTTAACAAGGCTATGAGCACAGATCAAATGGAATGTTACCATGCTTCACGATTTTTATGGGAGTTTAGGAAATTCCAGATAGTTTTCATGAAATAGTGTCTCCATTCTACAGACTATGGCATATATTTTATTACAATGAACAATTCTGAATTTGCAGAATCTGCTTTGGTGAATAATATAACAAATTTCCCAAAGGTCACTGGTATTGTACATGAAGGAAAGGAAATGAGATAAAACAGACTGCACACAACTAGTAGCTAAAAGAACTAACAAAAAACAACATCAGTTGCCATCTAATTAGCCCTTCCACAGTTACCTATTAGTCTTGTCACAGTTACTGGACCAAGCATGCCTGTAAGGGAGTGATGGGTAATTCGAAAAACCAGTGCTCACTCTCAACACACTCTTTAGGTGGACAGATGAAGTTCTGGTACTTGCAAACCTTTACGCCCTCCCCACCCTCACTCCCACTATACACTCATCAAGAAGAGACTAGTGCCTTCTATATATATATGCATACACATTTATATGTATCTGTTGTGATAGAAACAACATTGTGTGAACATAGTTAAATCAACATGTATGCACATATATATGCATATGTGTAGAGAAAGAAAGCATACAGAGTATTATTCAGAATTCTTTTTTAATGTTTTATTTGTTTTTACTTACTTGAAAGATTGACAGAGTGAGAGAGAGAGAGAGAAAGAGAGAGAGAGATCAAATTTCCATCTATTGGTTTACTCCTCAAATACCTGTAACAGTTGGGGCTGGGATAGGCCAAAAACAGGAACCAAGAACTCCATCTGGGTCTCCTACATGGGTAGTAGGGACCTAAGTACTTGGGCTACCAACTGCTACCTCTCCGTACCTTAGCAGTAACCTAGATCAGAAGTGGAGTAGGGACTTGAACAGAGGCACTCCAAATACAGCAATGGATACAGCCCAAGCAGCACCTTAGCCAGTGCCAAATGTCTGTCCCTGCTCACTATACTTTCAATTACAAGTGACAGAAACCCAACCTAAACTAACAAAAAAAAAAAAACAAAAGGCAAATATTTCCAAACATAGTTTAGGGAATCATGCAGGATTCTTAGTGCTTCTTTAGGTTTTTGACCTCACTTCACCTAGTAGTAAATTTTTCTTTGCTGTATTAGTTAGACTAAGGGCTAGACATTCCATGTTAGCAACCTCAGCAGAATGAGATCTGTCTGTAAAATTTATTTACCAGTCCCAGAGAACACTGTAGCTGGCCTACCCAATTGTGCACCAAAAGCATGCCAGAGAAATGAATACTGTGATTGGCCCAGCTAGGTTCATGTGCCAGTCTGTGCATTCCAAGGTGGATGGAGCACTTCGATTGGCAG